CGACACAGAAACAGAAACGGAGAAGCGAGAGACCAGACCAGGGTTGCCGGGGCCTCAAAATTCTCATCACCGCCAGTGTCTTCGCGTCAGAGGCTACAGGCGCACTAGCCACAAGCGAATCCCTTGAATCTGATGTTTCGGATTTCCATGTTTTAGCACAATTGCAAAAGGTACGTATTTTTATGTTTCTCGCCTGAATATTCGTATCCAATGCAATCAGTGTTTTTTTTTTCTCATCCTTTTCCTTGATCTTCAGTCACACGCCCTGTTTTTGTCTTTTACTTGATTCATCAATAGTCTTGATATTGAATCATGTACTCAGTCCCAAGTGGGATGAAAGCGGATAGTATCAATCTCAGACAATCTTGCATCGATACTGCACCTGCAACAATGTCGATCACCTGTCAGAAAAGCAGGATATTGTGTGTTGAGTGTTTCCTTCATCGTCTCTTTGCTGCAAATCGCCCTCTGGCATCGCCGCTAGTTCTTCTGCCTCTTGATATGGTGCATTCCTCACAGCCATTCATAAGATGTTCTGCTCTGCACAATACAACACCAACAATACAAACCAACCCCTGCTTTTGAGTCCCCATCCCCAGTCCCGTAATACTCTGCCCTGTTTCTCCACCCTCTTCCTGTTCCTTGTCCATATCCTTGCGCCTGCAGCCAACCGCCCGCCAGAACAAGGCGTGACCCTTCCTAATCCTGGTCCCTTGACGCCTCTAGGCGCAGAGTCTAGTGCCCAAATCTGGGCGGGATGCCAGCCTAGGGACATCGACAACTTCAGGATCCAATGCCAGCGCATGAATTTATTTACTTGGGGAATTGATGAGCACTGCCGTTTTACTGTCCTGTGCTTTTCTTTCTTTTTTTTTTTTTTTTTTTGATGCCGGGCCAGACCAGACCCATCTCATCACCGCTGCAACACTGCAACACACCGTCTCGTTTTTATTTACTCGTGCTCATCGTTAGTTGGCCCCTCCCTTGTATTCCATTCTAATCCATCACCCTCGTCTCCAATATAACGCCCTGGATCTATTAGACCTGGGTATGGTCCCGCTCACATGTTCACATTCACATTGAGCTATTCTTGTTCTTGGATTATAACCAGCCTTACCCTCCCTCACGCGCGTGCTGGACTCACAATTTGCTACTCTGCTTGTGTCTACGTCTTACACTGCTCTTTGTTTTGAAAGCATATGAGCACATACCTCCACTTCCTGCGCCTGCGCTTGCCTACATCATCCTTTTACACCCACTACTTTTTTTGCGTTGCATTCTTAATTCTCGCTCCTTGGCTGGCACCACCCGCATTTTTTCTTGGCTTTATTGGCCTCGTCATCGTTTAGACACAAAATCACTTCAGTGTAGTACAGTAGAGTACAGTTGTTAACCGCCATGACAACAACAGCTTCAGTCCCTGAATCACCACAGCGTCGATCTGCTTGGGTTCCTTCTCACGAAAACATCTACTATCGACCTCGTCTCAACAAGAAGAAGTCCGTTTCAGCTGGTCGATTTCCTGCGCCGTTAATCGGTCCTCGAAGATCTCGCCCCCAAGCCATTCACATCGTTAGCTATCCCTCGGGATACGTTCCACGAGAACTACGGGCAGAGAGCAGACCTCAAACACCTGAACTGCTTGTCGAGCCTCGACGCGCACCTTCGTTGCAACCGACTGCTACTAACACGTCCAACGCGAGTAACAGCACCAGCGATTACTTCAGCAACGGTGTAAGCAGTAGCCGGAGAAAGAAAAGCTTCAAACCTCGTGCCGCCGTACGCCGCAGAGATAAGCTCCTGAGCTCATTTACCTTTACGAACCCTGACTCTGGCTCTGAACCTTCATCAGCATCAAACTCAGTATCTGCAGGCATTGATACTTCGGGTCTCGCAGCAGCCGAAGCGCTATCGACAAGTACAGGTATTGACCGCTCAACTCGGCAAAGTGTGAGCGCTATTTCAAGTACAGCAAGACCAAGTACAAGGACCTCGAATACAGGCCACTCGATTGGCCAGTCTTGTCAATTGGACCTGGACCTTCCCGACGAGTCTGCGATTGGGTCGAGATTTACTGGGGCAGGTGCATCCCCACCAGCATATGACGACATAAGCTCACGCCCCGGTTCCGCGGCACCTGTTGGTATTGACTTAGCCTCTGCATCCACTGTAACGCCTGTTACCAACAACTCCAATTCTGCCAATTGCAACACCAACACAAGCAGCAATAACCAGACACAATCAGCCGCGGCCGCAACAATGGCAACTGCACGATCTTCGCATCCGTCGTTGGCGTTGACCAACCCCAATCGCAACAGTTTCATGTCGGCTCGTTCATCAAAATCTGCCGTCACTTCAGTCTCTGAGTTGCCGAAACCCGTCGCTTCCGGCAGTGGCGTGTCATGCTCAATTCTTCTCGCTGAGCCAAACATTTTTCTCTCAGGTTTTGATCATGATGGTCATGGTCACCGCGAAGGCCAGAGCGGTACCGCTTTATTAAGAGGCAAACTTCAATTGCGAGTCACAAAAAACGTCAAGATCAAAGCCGTTCAACTCAAACTTCTTGGCCGTGCTCGCACTGAGTGGCCCGAAGGCATCCCTCCCCTCAAGCAAGATGTATTCGAGGAGGAGAGCCTTCGCACCCAAGTGCTTACATTTTTCAATGCCATGAATGACGGCTGGGAGTCCGACTATGGCAACCAATGCACTTATCGCCTCAAGAGCAGTTCTCCAAATGGCAGCTCTACGAACCTCGTCCGCCCTAACCCATCATCATCTCTGACCCCGCATCAAAATAACCTTTCTGCCAAAGAAATCAAGCGCTTATCTTTGCAAAGCGTCCAGTCGCGAAGTTTCCAAAAGGGCGACAGTCCTATTGCCACTCCTACACAAGCCAAGGGATACAAGGTCTTCTACCCTGGTACTTATGACTATACTTTCGAACTACCCATCGACCACCACCAGCTAGAAACAACCAAGCTGCAGTATGGATCCGTTAAGTGGGAATTGCATGCGACTGTTGATCGAGCTGGAGCCTTCAAGCCTAACCTTCACGGCACCAAGGAAGTGTCTATTGTTCGCGTGCCTGATCAACTCTCCCTTGAGATGACGGAACCTATTTCTATTAGCCGCCAGTGGGAAGACCAGTTGCACTATGACATTGTTATCTCGGGCAAGAGCTTCCCCATTGGTAGCAAAATCCCCATTGCCTTTAAGCTTACACCACTTGCCAAGGTTCAAGTGCATAAGCTCAAGGTTTATGTAACGGAATCGATTGAGTACTGGACCAACGATAAGCGTGTAACACGTAAAGATCCAGGCCGCAAGATCTTGCTACTCGAAAAGTCTGCCGGAAAGCCTCTCGATTCGTCTTACGCCTCATCTGAAATCCGAACGCTTCGCGGCGGCGAACTAGACCCTGAGCAGCGACGAGAGGCTCGTGAAGCGGCTGCTCGAAGACGCGCACAAGATGCTGCCCGAAGACAGACCACGGCCGAGCCCCTTCCTGAGCCTTCGGCTAACCTCCTGGGCGACCTGGATCTGGGACTCGAGACCATCTGGGGTTCAACAGAAATCGAAGCCAATGTGCAGATTCCTACATGTGAGATGATGGCCAAGAACAAGGAGCTAAGACTCAACCCTGACTGCAGCTGGAAGAATGTCAATGTCTTCCATTGGATCAAGGTATGTTATTTAATGATGAGTTTTGGGCCAGCAACTAACCGTCTCAAAGGTTGTTATGCGAATCAGCCGTATTGATCCTGAGGATCCTAGTGGTACAAAACGCCGACACTTCGAGATCAGCATTGATTCGCCATTCACTGTTCTCAACTGCCGTGCCACTCACGCCAACACTAATCTTCCTGCTTATTCAGGCGCCAACTGCAACGGCACCACTTATCAGTCTACTTGTGGATGCCCTGATGCCTTCACCGTTCCCACCGATGCTTCACCTAGTTCTTCGGAAGGTTCACTACCCGGTGTTAACCCTAACGCTGAGAACCTTCCGGCGCCACCACAGGCTGCCCATTTGGCCGACGGTGTTAGTGGACAACAAGAACCACGCCCGATCCATCTGCTCAGAGTTCCAAGCTTCAACCCTCCCGCCTTCGAAGATGATATTGCGCCACCTCCTGCTGCCGAGCTTGTCACAGATGTGCCTGAGCCTGTGATGACTCCTCCACCACAGTACGATGTTGTGGTCGGAACTCCCAGTGTCGACGGTTTGGCGGATTACTTTGCACGATTGGCCGATGCAGGCTATGAGGGACATGAGGATTCAGAGTCGGATCCTGATGATTCCCCACCCAGAATCCTGGACCGAACTGGGCGTGTCAATGTCGCCAATCCTCGAACTCCTGGAGGTCGAAGGATGCCCAGTCGAAGTCTAGAGATTTCCCGACCCACCATTCAACTTGATATGAATGCTCTCCGCGCCCGAGCTGGACGGGCAGTGTGAAGAGCACTGGCCGTCCATGTTTGGATATGATAGGAGAGAAATACTCTACAAAGACATACTCAGCTTGAGCGTGTCAACAGTACATATTGGCGTCTACGCCATTTACGATATTTACGTTTTTTTCTTTGCTGTATTTTGTCTAAAGGTTGTAACAATCAAGCATATGGGTTGCATTTGGCATGGCTGGAATGGATAAGGTCTCGATGGCGTTACATCTTGCTACACGTTTTCCAACAAGGGCCAGGCGTTTACAAAGAGGAAAAGGATGTCATGCAAGTCAGCTACTCAGGATTCATTTAAGCGAAGGAAGGGAGGATATACCTTGGATTTTGGGGTAGGACACATGCGCTGGATGAACGCATACCCACGTATCGATACCACATCGTTTCCTAGACACTATCAATATATTTAGCCCGATACGGGTTTTTGTGTTACCATTTGGTCCGTTCCACGTTAGATAAGCGAGTTGAATATGCACCTTGTTTGGATATAAATAGACAGTTATTAAAGGACGTTATGAAGATCGTTTAAGGGCCCAGCCGTGATGTTCAGGGTCCATTCCGCTTATTGGTTATTTCACGGAAACCCCGGTTCGTAAGCGCTAAATCGAGACACGCCGCCCAAGCGGCAAGACGTCTCATCGTCAACTAACATCTCTTGGCTATCAACCTGATGAGTACTTACTCATCAAACAACTTCTCAAGAACAAGTCTCCAGTATTGTTGCCCTGTCTCAAGTAAGCGATGCCCTTTCTGGTAACTCGGGCGAGATGCGCCTTGACTAATCAGTTCACTCTCATGGAACAGGACACAATGGCTGTAAGAGGTGAAGACAAGACTGGTAAAGAGACGCCAGTGAGACAGCGGAAGGCTCACAAGAAGTCTCGTCTCGGATGTAAGAACTGCAAACTGAGGAGTGTCAAGGTGAGCTGATCGCTGTAACTCTTATCCACCAACCCCATGTCTCAGTCATACGCTTCACTTCACCTCAGCACTAACATCTTTCAGTGCGATGAATCAAAACCATCGTGTAAACGTTGTACCTCATCAGGCTTCGTCTGCTCGTTCACTCAGATATCCCCCTCATCCTTCCAACTCGCCCACCAGAGCGCAGGGCCAGTCTTCTCAGTCGTCGATAAGTCTCTCGGCCCTATCAACCCTGGTTTCAGAGTCCCCGTCATCCAGCCTGTAAAGGGTGGTGTCGGTGAGATTATACTAGACGATGCTGCCCTGGCGGCTATTGAGAGGTTTCGACTAAGGACGGTGTTTTCTGTTGGTACACAGAAGACGAGAAGTGTTTACAGCGAGGGCGCGTTTCTACTAGGATTGAAGGTGAGTACTCACAAATCTCTTTATAGTATTTGACACTGAAATTTATAGCATCCTTTTCTCATGCATGTCTTTATTGCTCTGTCTCTTCTTCATGATCAGCATCTAAACCCCTGCCAAACATCTTCTCACCGCACAGCCCTCGCTTTCCACTGGTATCAAGCGACAGCCCTTTTCCACCGCCGTCTCATGGCAGCAGGATCAGTCCCCGATGTGTCGAAACTCTCTGACTCCGAACGCGATTCCCTCTGGGCTTCAGGAGCACTCCTCGGCGCAGCTTCGATGGCTCTTTTAGATGCTGAAGACGTGTATGGAGTGTGGCCCCTCAAGAAATCTGATTCCTTGGATCTTGACTGGCTAGGAATGAGCGATGGGAAGAAGGTTGTATGGAATATCGCTGACCCAACGAGAAAGGATAGTATTTTCCATCAGTTGCTCAGAGAGTGGGACGGCATTCCTGATGGTTCTAAGCCCATTCCGCCCGATGCCCTTCCGACTATGTTCTACGATGCCTTTGACATTGGGCCGTCTTCTACAGCTCAGAACAACCCATATCATGTCGCTGCGTCGTTACTCGCACAGTTGCTTCCCCGAAAGATCGATGACAATACAGTGATCCAGTTTCTCACTTTCTTAACGCAACTGGACCCGCGGTATAGGAAGCTACTGGAGGAGAAAGACCCCAAGGCTATGGTATTGCTGGCATGGTGGTATACAAAAGCAGCGGCACACAGCTCATGGTGGATGCAGAGGAGATCAGTGGTAGAGGGGCTGGCAGTCTGTATCTACCTGGAGAGGAATTGTGGGCATGAAACAGTTATTCAGGAGCTGGTGAAGTTTCCAAGGCGTGTATTTGATGCCTGTCGTGGTAATGGAGGATCAATGCCTGCGCAGAACAGACAGCCTTCAATAGCGGGCGTTCAGGTCTACTAGTAATCATAGGATAATATTATATATTTGAACAAAAGCTGCAGTAATGAGAGACAGACCTAAAGCATATCGAGACCAGCTAGACTACTCAATAATCCTGAAAACCAACAAAACGCCATATCCTTGTCCTTACATGGTATCGTGACAGCCGTAGGCATCTAGCCTTATGGCGAGTTCCCACAAGCGCGTCAAGCACCCACTTTAACCTCGGAGTTAACGGGCTGCTTTTCCTTCTCCCCATCCTTGTTAGGCATCAATGGATGATTTGGGTCGTATCCAACGGATTTCACAATACCAAGACCCTTTGTGCGACCTTCGCGGAACAGGAGCCTGTCGCCTGGAGCAAGATACTCAGGGCGTTGAACGAAGCGGAAGGCGACAGTTGCGCGGTCTCCTGTGCGAATGAGCGCTCGGTCAATGTCGATGATGGCACACGTTTGGGAGACAGGGCCAACGTGGAGCATGGCCTGGTACTTGGTCTTGATAGTAGTGGCGTGTGAGAGAATAAGAACTGGCAATGTTAGTGTGGCTCATTGTGGCATTGACCTAAATGCTTACCCTCTGCAACAAACTCACGGTGCACCTTTGGCATCACCTGGCCTTCGATCCGGGGTAGAAGTACCATACCCTTGCGCACGTCTTTGCGCTTGACCTTCTTCAAGGCGAAAGAAGCAGACTGTCCAGCCGATGCGGCGGGAACTCGTATCCTCTTGCGCTCAATTGACTTGACAGAGGTTGGTGTGAATTGGCCCAGAGAATCAGGCCCGATGAGAACGTTGTCGCCCTCATGAATGACACCAGACTTGATGATGCCAGACACGACGGTACCTGTGAAAGGTACTGAGAAAGTGTCATTGACGTGGAACTCGAATGGGGCATCTGAGTTGTAGCGTCCGTGATGGGGAAGGATGTTCAAGAACGTCCTGACCAGATCAAGATTCTCCCCTGTAACGTTGGAGACGAGGAAGACAGGGCATATCCGTTGACTGACGAACTGAGTGGCTGTGTTTATGCATTCCTCACGAGTCTTTATGAAAGTCGGTATCTTTCGAGCTCCAGGGCTCTTCATGATCTTGGTGATCTGCGTCAATGTCTGCTCCAGAATGTTGGGAGGGCAGATATCAATCTTGGTGACAACAACCATGACGGGAACGTTTAGAGCCAGAGCAATACCTAGATGCTCTTTGCTCATGCCAATAAGACCGTTGTTCGCCGCCACCATAAGAAGACAATAGTTTGGGCTGCTTGAGAGCAATCCGAATACTGTCGTTCGAAGATACTTCTCGTGACCAGCCAAGTCAGTGAAGGTGATGACCTTTGCACTCCTCTTGCCAATTTCTTCCCAAGACAACTTGCCTGCAGAATGTCAGTATGGCCATCCGTAATAGTTAACGATCACGAAGACATACGCCCAGGAGTGTCAGAGGTGACGACCTTGCCCATGGTGTCAAAGCCCATGATCTCCATACCAACCGAACTGGTTCGCCCAGACTCAATTTCGTGCTTGTGTCTAAAGAGATTGACGCGAGCTTTACCTCTTCCATCATCAAGGTCTCCCTTTACGAGCACGCCCAACATGGAACTCTTGCCTGCGTCGACTGCAACGTGTAAATAGTGGTACTAACCAGGTGGAGCTTGGAATAACTCACCATTCCCTACTACCGCTATCCGGGTTTCAATGACATCCTCTATTGTTGCGGGATTCTGGCGGATCAGAACCTTGCCGCTGCAGCTTTTATCCTTGGTAGGCTTGTCGGTAGTGCTCGCGGCCTCGAGGTCGCCACCAACATTCTTAGTTAATAACAGATCGCAGTCGGCGCGCACCCCATTTGCTGCTTCCTGAAGTGTTTTGAACGCCTGGTTCCATTGATCGAGGGTTAGGTTCATCGATTCGCCATGGTTCTCATATCCAATCTCGAAAACGCATTCGCCGAAACCTTCCTCTAATCGGTCAGAGACAATTTCCTCCAATTGCTTCAATGTGTCTTCATCTTCAGTCGATCCAAGCAGAAGGTCCTTGAGAGGCACTCGCGGTGCTGACTCCGCAAGGTCGAGGTTATCGAATAGCTCATCGAGTTCTTCGTGGTGTTCGGTATTTGAGTCTGTGGTCTCAGCTGCGTCCGTCGTCGTTCGCGCGGTCGGATACCGCAAGTTCTGCTGTTGCTCTACATAATCCGCGAAATCGCTGAGCGCCTATATCAAGCATGAATGAGCATATACACATTGTGCATCCCAAAGATACACGAACCGATTCGCCCTTGCGCTTCTCGTGCGCTAATGGCTTCGTCGACATTATGACAAGACTTAGAGGATACCAAAATAAACTCAGTAGAGACTCCGCTAAGCTGAGGCTAAATTACCTAAGTATTTGAGGTCCTTGAGAGGTACTCGTGGCGCTGATTCCGCAAAATCGAGGTTGTCGAATAGCTCATCGAGCTCTTTCGTGGTGTTCGGTATTTAGGTTTCTTGACTCCGCCGTGTAATCATTGACTTGCAAGCAAGTGTTGGACTGAAGGCCAGAGAAGTATTTAAATAATTGGGAAGAATGGCTCTCAAAAAGGCTGCGCCACTTCTCGCCGTCTGACTGGGCTGTTTTGAAGTTTTGAATTCAGAAGAGTCATAGACAAACAAAGTTATAAGTTTAGAGGTAGCACCTGATGCGCGGGGGGTTACTCACAACGCCGACAGGCACCCCACGCCACGCCTGCCTACCTATCGATAAGAGCTCAAGCTGTGTGCACGGACCTCTTGTGGCCAAATTGGTTGGATGGCGTCTCAAGCCGCATTCATCTATCGGGGTTATAAAATGCCATGAGAACCAAAGTCTCATCAATGGACAACCTGTAGTGGCCAATAAATTGTGATTAGCCGGTATCGGAAGGCTGTATTGAATGCGAACTAGAGGTGGTTTTTTGCATCAATGTTCTTTTGTGCTATCAATGCTCTTTCTATCTAAACCTTGAGCTAAATCTGTCAAGGTGGGCTTTCCAGCAATAGGAGCCACTTGTTCAACTTCGACTTGGCTTTGGCTGGAACAGAATGTGGCTCAAGGGTTGTAATGCTGTAAGATATTGAACCCTGAATACTGGTATCAACACAGTCTCGGGCTGCTTTCGGGGTGCTTTGAGCAGCTTCGTGCCTCAGGCTGTCGTATGACGCAACGGGCATAGTTGCTGCTGAGACAGTGTTTGCACATTTGAGTGTGTGCAGGGGCGTAATGATTCTTTGTATCCCTTCTAGAACGGAACCCCAGGTGAGATAAGGACAACACTATCGCCTGACTTGACGTTAATATGTAGAAACGACTGGACCTCAGATCGACTCACCTCTCACAAACAACATCTCAGATTTCCGGCTGATGGTCTAAATTTCAGTTAGAATCGACTCAGGTCAGTCTCAGAACCCCGCATACCTTGAGTTCCTCATCGTCATCGTCCTCATCCACAGTGTAGATGGTCTCCTCGACTTCTCCCAACACCAGATTGCAGTGACTGTCGTAAGCCTGTCTATCATCAGTATCTCCTTGATTAAAGTAGTCACAGGCCTAACTGACGTGTAGCTTTCCCTTGAGCTCGCGGTCTCCTCGAAGCTTGACAAAGACAACCTCGTTGAGAAGGAGTCGAACAAGGTCGAGAGGCTCCGAAACGTGATGAGGCTCTTCGCCTGCGTCAGCCATGGTTATTTGGAATAGTTGTTGACTGTGTTAGGTTCGTCTCGGTGAGTGTGGTGGTGAGCTGGGCAGGGCTGAGCTGGATATGTACCAAGGTTCAGTGGGAAAACGCGAATTGGCACGGTTGGGAAATCCTCGGAGAAATTGCTACGTTATGCAGTAAACCACGACGGCAGCGAATGCACCTATACCATACATTACCCCATGTTTTGATGCACTTAAGCAGTGCGGCTCAGGCCTGGTCCTTCCCGATTTGGGTTACACGGCAGCCAAACGCCCCTCGCGTTGAAAGAGGAGGTGTTCAGTTACATCCGAGGCCTTCCACCTTCATCGTCTTGCTCTTTTATTTCTCTCATGTTTTTGTGTTTTCTGTTTTTCGCGACAACTTCAGTGCCATGCTTTGGCGACAATCCCTCCTAAGAGGGACCCGTCTCGATCATCCATCGACATCTCCACTCGCTTTCGCGCTACGGATCTATGGTTCCTCGCTAATACACCAACGGCCCGCTGAGGTGGGTCGAAGACGATGGTTAGCATCAATATCTCCCCCGGTTTCAACTTCGACTTCGACTTTTGCGCAACAGCGAGGTAATTCACTACCAGACGAAAGCTCTACCTACCGTCCCACGCCTTTAGATGTACTGCTCAAAGTTATACGATGTCAAGAGACTGGTCGTGTCCTCCCAGCGTTCCAAACCTGGGTCCAATCGTTGGTCAACGATGACACTGAGGTCGCCAACGCAGCTCTTCAAGAGCTAGCTGGGCTTCCTGTTGCAACATTCTCTGAGATTCTTCGAGCACTTGACCCCGTTGCAAACAAACATCTCGATGTTGCACACGATATCGCCATTTCTCCTGGTGAAATGCAGTTCACAAACGCACACCACCTTGTAGACGAATTCGGTGTGCGGTATCAGCATCGCTTTGTTCTCAACGCCTTGAAGATCATCACTAAAGCCCGTCGTGATGCTGGTCGCAGCCTTGTCCTGTCTGACTACGAAATCCTCATCCGTTGTGCGGGCGCCGCTGGAGACTTGGCAGATGTTATCTTCTTTTTCAGTGCAATTACACGCCATGGCTTGGGACCAAAACGTAGCACGAGAACTTGGAACGAGTTCTTCAAGGCTCGCTACATGACCGACCCTGTATACTACCAATATCACCGACAGAGAGTCCTTTATAAGCCTCGTGAGGGGTACAAAATATTTTTCAGGACGCCTCTCAACAATGTTTGGCGACTGGAAAGTCTCCGACACAGCCGGAATGCCCTTCGCGCGACCCCCTTCAATCGTCAACGACATCGCTTATGGGCAGACAACATGCTATGGAAACGTAAAAAGACAGGTTTTCAAAGTTACTTCGCACATTGGCGCCGCAGCAAGGATACTGGTGTTCTACTCAATGAGGAACTACTTTGTACCACCCTGATTGCATTCGCTCGCAGTGGTTCGTTCCAACATATACGAGGCATTGTCCTCAAACGAGGATTCGGCATCGGACTGGTAGAAGACAGAAAGACCGGCACCTTCACCGTCGATGGTTTTAAGACGTTTCGTCCGGGCAATCCACGAGCTCCCACTGAGCGTCTGCTGAATGCTATTGTCGAAGCATTTGGGTCTATGATGCGCATTCGGCTGGCATGCCAGCTCCTCATCCATGTCTCAACCACCTTCCAAATACCCATTCCACACGAAACATGGTGTAATCTTCTCAACTCGGCCTATGTTTGCGGAGTTAAATCGAATCAGCGTCAGCGTCGGTTCATGGATTTCTTTCCTCCCTCCTCAAAGGTGACTCCATCAATGGTTACCGAGATTTGGGACACAATGACTTCAGAACCTTACAATGTCGAGCCTTCGTTCGAAAATTACATCGTTTACATCAATTCGCTTATATTTAAGCATAGTTTCAGTGCGGCATTGGACATGATACGCGACCATGCAGTTCCTCATTACCGTCAGCTTGAGAAACAGCACCTACAGAGTGTGGTTGACGACGTTCTTCAGGAAGCATCAGAGCCCAGCCATAGCCGTCGAACAATCGAAACACAAAAGGAGCACACCTGGTACCAGATCGCAAAATGCCTGGAAAATCTCCTCAGTACCGCTTCCAAGGACAGTCGCCGGCGGAAGGGCAACTTTGCAACTACTGCAATACCACATATCGTCACAGAATTCAGTGAATTTCTACACGACCAGATACGCTATCGCACCTCCCAAGGCTATGTATGCCTGGAACGCTCGGTAGAGCTGCCACGCTTCAAATGGGCTACAAAGTTACGAACGACACTGCCTCAGTTAAAGGGTGGTGTAGAAACGCAGATGATGGTGGGCAGGGGCGTGATTGAAGAGGCAGAAACCTACGAAGAGCGCAAAGAGAACTGGCCCAGAGACTTTGAGATGAAGATCCTCGAATGGAGGCGGAAACCGCTGCCCAGACCCCGTGCGATGGGGGCTGCGCCCGAGAGGACAGCCGTGGATGCGAGGGAGTGGTGGAAGACTTTAGAAGATGAATTAATGGTGTAGATATAAGGTACCGGTGATAGATCTAGACTATCTAGATGCCATGTATCATAGACTTAGCGTAGCGAGTCAAGAATCGTTTTTCTTCGCTTACTAGGTGGTTCATTCGTCAATCGTAATAGTCAACTTGAAATAAAACAAGAATGGCAAATGATAACAAAATCTGATTCATAACTGCTATATTCTGGTGTCGTCTTATCGTGGGTATCTAATCCTGCCAAAGTCTCCTGATAATCTCTGTCGGAGACATCCGTGTCATCCGTGGTATAACTACATACATAAGTTCCAACAAGGTATACAAAAATGACAAACTCTTTTCCTTTGTTTTCTCTGTTCCCATCTTGTTCTGTGGTCCAGTCCATCTTACAGTTGCCTTTGTTACATATCCAAAAACGTAGTACAGAACCAAAGTCATAATAAGGAAATGACAAAGGGAAGTGATGGGTAATTTGATACGGGACCAGCCCGTTGAAATCAAGATGCTGCTTCAGCGAGGACGCTCAAAAGGCTCACTGCTGCACCGCCAATGCCAACAGCGCCAAGAGCTTCACCCCATTTCTTTCTTCCTTGAGGGCGATCTTCCCTCCTGGTACTTCTCCTATCTCGATCTCTGTCACGATCCCGCTCACGGTCTCGGTCACGATCACGATCTCTCTCGCGATGGTACCGCTTTCCGCTGTCGTAGTAATAGTCGCCATGTCTATCGCTTCGTGAGTGACGATCTGCACTATCAGAGTATCTTCGCGAACGTCGCGATGATCTGGTAGGGCTCTGTCGCCGGCGCTCACGATGATGATCATGGTCACGCTCACGATGGCGATCGTCCCTGTATGATCGGGGACTTCGGGCATCAACCTCGTACGGCTCCGGGTCGAAGCGCACGTGGTTTTCGTTTTTGTTCTTGAGAATTGGCTTCGGCATTGTGGTGCTCGAAGGAGATGTCGGGTTCTTTGTGGGAGGATTGACGATATATGGATAGCTCTTGGTTCCTTTCTCAGACGACTTATCTTCTTCATCGTCTGAGATATCGGTTTCGTCAAAAACTCCGCTATCATCATCATCTTCTTCGTCCCGGCTGCTCTTCGAATCTCGCCGCTCAGAGTGGTGATCGTGCTTACGAGGCGGAGGACCACGTCGTGAACGAGCAGCTCGACAGGCAGCACTTTCACGGGCGAACTCGGACACTTGTTCTCGGGTCAAACGGCCCAAAATTGCAACGTAGTCTGGGCGAGCCTCATAGCGCACACCAGCTCGTTCAAGGACCTCGGGGCTAACTAGCTCCCGTCTAATTCTGGTCCACTGGGCATCAGGAGGAATCTCATTACCCCATCGATCAGGAGCAAGTCGAGGAGCGCTGCTCCGTGGACTGCTACCGTAAGATGGGGGCCCGCTATTGGTATAATGAGGCATAGGGGGCATGGAGCGTGGAGATGACTCAATGTGGCGTGTAATCGGGGAACTTGACAACTCTGGGACATCTGGCAAACTGTTTGGTGGCATCTGTCTATGTCCGGGAGACAAACTGTACTGGTCGTTGCCCTGGACGTTCAGATTTGCCATTCGCATGTTGAGGTTATCCATGGCGAGGAGATCCTGGGTCGACACCATTGCCATGGAGTAGTCAGATTCATTGTCGGCATCTCTTGGGGACGACGAAATAGGCTCTCTCGCGGTGTCGCTGTTTGACCTTCCTCGCCCACCAGTGATAATAACGGGTGGATATTTCCTGTACGGACTGCTGTCAAGCTCTTGGGGTGAGGTGGGCTGTGATCTCGCTTCATGCTCCAAGAGACCCCTCACGGTGGGATATTTACCGCCATACTGGTTCTGAACGGACTCGAGCTCGCGAACGTATGCTCGTAGAACATCCTGACGCTGTGTTAGTCGTAACGATCTACAAGGGAGATTTGATCAACACGTACTTTGTGTTTGCGTAGCACTTGGGGGGAAAACCCTTGATCTTCGAGCTCGATCTTGAATTCGCGCCAGAGACCATCCTCGTCTTCAGTAAAACTGCCCTCGTTGCGGTTTCGGAATAGCTTAGTGGCGATTTCGTCAACCACATCTTTGATTCTCTCAAGTCCCTCTTGGCCTTCGACAACCCTGGTGGGTCTGTTCTCGGCATGCAGCTGAACGGCGTCAAGAAACATCTCGACACTGGTCTTGTCCCCAACCAGTTTATGTTTGATGACCGAGAGTTCTTGATCGCGCTGGCGCTCATCTTCTGGCATGACAGCGCGGCCGTCCCCATACTTATCTAGATGACGCTCAAGTTGGCCGAGGGTGAATCCACAGTCATCGACGAGAGGCTCGAGCTGGCGACCATAGACGGACGAGGACGAGGCTTGGACATTGCTGAGAACTGAATCTTGGTCGGCTGCTTCGATGCGCAGATGTCGTAGGGCTATATGTAGATTTCGAACTGCAGTCGCGACGTCGGTAAATGGAAGACCTGATTGTTTGGCGCGAAGGTAGAGGGTTCGAGCGAATGCATCGAGAGCATCGATGCGTTGGACGGTTGAGCCGCCGCTCATGGCTTGTTGTTTGAGCTCAGACGAGCTTTGATAGTGCTGTTAAGCTAAATGTGTAGTATAGTATAGTATAGTATAGTATAGTATAATTTTAAGTCGGCGTTGCAGAGGTTAGAAGAGTGGGCGCTCCCGAGTAGTTGTTAGTACCTAGTAAGGAGCAGGTAATCGTATCGTAGAGAGAGCTGTGTTGTTAAAGTGCAAGAGTTGGGTGGATGCCAAGTAAATAAAGGCAGGTAAATATTTTTCAAGGATAAATAAGAAGAGAGCGGCAAGGAAAGTAGAAGGGTTGGGACGGGAAGAAAGGGAAGATTGGATGCTACAGTAGAAGATGGAGGGGATAGTTTATCAGGTTATGGATCCATGAAATGGAAGCCCAGTCCAGATGAAGGTTGGGGAGAGAGGTACAAAGACGTAGTATCCTTTTGGCTGGGACAGGCACGCGGAAGAGGCGTAGGAGCAGAGAGAGGAACAACCATCACTTGATGGAAGGGTAGGGAATGTGTGTGGGTGTGTAAAATGGGCTTAGACAACCGTAATTGTACAGTGACTGTACAAGTAAGTGGTGATGTTGATGGTGGGTGACCAGGCTAAGAGGTACTATCGGTAGCGAACCGTCCTCGTGGTTATACGCTCCAAGTTTTTGGTGGATGATTGTATGTTTCTCAGTGTCGCTCAGCATGGTTACTCGTGTGATAAATGATCTCACTGGCTCATCCTCGTGCTTTCAACCCATTTCATCTCATCTCGTTGTTGTCTCCCAGGCAGAGAAACTCCTCAATAATGGAACATTTCATCGTAAGGCCCCTGTAACAGCACCCTACTTCCGGGGAGCAGTGGGGAATGCCCCCCCTGGTCTTTGTCCTGGGTCTAGTGACGTAGGTAGCCGCTGTCTACGCTAACAGCCTTACATCATCGCTTGTGCATTTGCAAGGCTGGTCTCTGGAGATCTCTGTCGCTGCAGGGTTCGCGACTGGAATTTGATGCTGGAATTAGATCGCCAGCTGTATCTATGGCCACCCTCTCGAGTGTACCTTCGTTTCAGTTTGATCTCTGACACTCAAGCAATTGGCTCCGTCTTTTTTTACGAGAGAAAACCGTTTTCGGGCGTATTTTGCCTCTTGGATCTTGTACTGCGCCACCCGCTCGGCAACAGGGCGCAACGTGGGGCATTCTCGTAGACCTAATTTAGCGGCATCGAGAAACTCTCCAGGACGAAATGACGAACTGCTCATCCAGGGACGAACACAAACGGTCGCAGGGTCCCTTGACTTTACCCGGAGAGGGACATGCCACTACCTCGTGTACAAGAGGTGATCAAGTGTTTCAGCTTGCTCGACTCCTGTCTATCATTTCATCACCAATTTCCTTAATTAAACATGTACCTCCGGCCTCAAGGATCATGGCTTGCTTTTCTCACCCAGTCCCTTGCTGTTGGGAATAATGGATACATCATCGGTAAAGGCCGACATCATCATCAGTCACGTCTTCGTGCTCGGCCTCGGCCTCTTGGCTTATTACTACGTTGTAGCTGCTTGGAGTCTCTAGTCTCTCGGCTTTCTCCATTTGTCATCCGTTTTCCTTCTAGAACATGACTAAGTTTCGCAATGCGCTCCTCATTCGCCTCTAGTTTATGCCCTCGTGAGAACGTCGCTTTTGCTGCAATTCCCCACTATCAATGGATTCTCACATATCATCTCCACCAACCGAATGAACCGAAATCGATCTACAATGCAGGGCTTTCATGCTGTTTAAAAAATCTTTTTTTCCTTACCTCTTTTCTCTAATGCATAAATGTTTGCATGATTTGATTCATGTACCCCACTCCTATTGAACATGTCCTCGGCTACCCGCAGCCTTTCTTTCAAGCCGTGCAAGCCTCTATCTATCATCTGGTAGTTCGGCTCCATGCATTAGCTACACAACCCTTACATGTCGGCAGTGCTTCCGCGATGAGCTTTGGCCCATTTCCAGGCTGTGCTCGTAAAGTCAAGACCAACACTGGTAGACTGGTACTGTGCTTGGGTAAAAAAACAGGCAACCATTTGAGAGTCTCTGACGCTGATCAATAGGTAGTCATACTTCCGAGGCTTTGATATCCGAATGTACTGTACTTTCGGGTCTCCATGATACGCGGTGACTCACTCCCGTAAGAGATCAGCACGTCGTGTCCCAAAGAGCCAATGGATGATGAACTGCACGTAACCGCAGCGCAGGGCTTAACGAAAGGCCGATTCCCTCTAAATCCATACTTGCTCAGTCCTTACACTACATGTTCAGGTTCCACAACAGTTCATAGGTACTCTGTGGTTCGTCGCAATATCCCGACGTCTCTGAAACATTCGCGACTAGCAACAGAATTATGTGGTTGCCTTTTCTCAAGCGAGTAGTTATTGCATTGCATGTCACGCAGTAAGCAAGTTCCGTCGAGCTTGGTTGCACGTTTCTGTCCGTGACGCCGAGATTAAACCATCCATTCTTTTGATATGCCTGTCTCTATCTCTCTGCAACTTCATCAGTAGATGAGATGCCATATGCAGCCACCGAACTCTGCTATGCTGACCTCACAATATCGCTGTAAACAAACATCTTTGTCTGATAACCCAAAATCTCATCAACATGTGATCCTAATTAACCCATCAACACCCCCCTCATGGCTCCAACGTGCGCCGCGGGTAGCCGATCTCCTTAGCTTTAAGCTCTGCCCCGCGTCTCTTTATGCTTCACCACGGTTCCTGGGCGTAGGCTCGCCTATGTTCCTCCAATAGACTCTTCGAACCTGGAACCCCTCCGCCATAAGCCAAGCCCTAGGACTAGCTCCGTTGGTGTCAGAATGAACACTGCGACTTTCAGCCGCATACCATGTGGTGTCGCAGACCGGGAAAGTGCTTCCAGGTGAGAGCCTCCGTAGCGCATTCTTCTGGTTGCCTTCTTCGAAAACCTTCTTTTCTCCATGGCTTTAGATTGCTAGCTTCTCAAGTGAGTATGCCTCCACCTTGCGGCTGATCAGCTGGCCTGTCTCTCGGGTGCTTCGCTGCACCACTTCGCCGCCCGACACAACCTTGCTCTTGGTTGGCAGTTGCTTCGTCTTGAGGCCCAACGGGAGCATTCGAGATTCCTGGCCCTCCAACTTCATGGGGACCGGGTTGTTTGTGTTCCACGGTTGTCGGCCGGCGCCGCTCTTCTGAGATGCAAGGCCGAATCGGACTGCCTCGCCAACGATGCCATTGAGGTACACAGCCTCCTCCAGACCTTCGAGAGCCGCAGTCACCTCAAGCTTGAGTGCTGTCAACAGATCGCCTGTCTCAGACTTATCGCTTGAGATGGCATCGTTCAACAACCATCCTCCAGCGCCGACGGCATCAATACACCGACCGAGAAGGTCCGAGATCAAAGTGATCACACCGTCCGGGGGCGGGTCGTTACCCTCGGAGTCAAAGCTGGTTGGGTCGATATACAGCGATGTCCACGCACCTCGGACAAGTTCCACTCGTAGGGTGTAGATTAGCGACAAGATCTCATCCGTTTTGAGCGTAGCTCGGATGGCCTTGACCGTGGTAATAGCTGGGAGCCGCCATAGCTTAGCGAAAGCTAAGGTGAGTCCCCGCGAACGGCTGCTGCTATCATCTCCAAGGTAGTACTCCGTGATCGCAATGTCTCGCTCAAGATCGTCAAGGTCCATCTCGTAGTTTTCAGCCCCGTCATGTGCCTCGTCTTTCAAAAGCTTGTTGTTAGCTGGCTTCTTGGGATCAGGGATGAGGTCAAGATTGAGCATCAAAGCTCGGATAGCCAGAAGTAACTCTAGTTCGCCAAGTTGAGTCGCTTGAAGGTAATTCAGCACCAACGTCATGGATGGGTCGGCATCGGTCAAGCTTGTCAGAAGGTCCTCAACAATAGTTTTGCTGTCGAGAGCTTCCACATCCAATTCTTCTCTGAATGCAGCCTTCAAGTTTGAGAGGGTCAGGTGCCCAGCAACAACCAGGTAGGATGTGACGTTCGTGTCGGGCAGAATGAGCTGCAGCTTAGGTCGTGATTCCGGTGCCTCGCTTGTAGAGATGGAAAATGCTCGCCCAATCGCGTAGAGTACCCAACGTCGATCCACAACAGCGTATGAGTTGCCTCCTGTGTGCCACTCCCATTCAGGGAGTTCCTGGGCTTCCTTCTCCTTCGCATCAGTGCTCTCGCTCGTTGATCGAAGGCCCACGCGAAATCGCTTCCGTAGGAGACCTTCCCACTCACCAAGGTCACCCTTTGTAAGATGCCCATCTGCAACTTCAAGCTCGTTGCGAAGCTTATTCATATACTGCTCAGTCATCGAACCAGGGACATATTTAGAGAAGTCTGCCGATAGCTTGTCTGTCTTGGCCTTCTTCGCTGGGATTTCAGTGGCAGTTCCACGACCAATAGAGTCAATCAGAAGACCCTGTTTCCGTCGCTTGCCGTGGCTCTTTGGGGGCTCAATCTGGATTGAGACCAGGACGTTGTCAACCAGGGCGACAGCCAGCTCCTGACTTCGCAGGTAGCTAATCAACTGGCACGACTGGGGCATCTCATCCTCCTCAAGTACCTCGGAGAGATCGAGGGGTGCATTTGCATGTATGGATCTATACTGGTGGTTGTAGAGACTGATTGACTCGAGTGAGCATGACAGAACAAATGGTCGAGACAAACGAGAGAAAGAAACTGCGTTCTCCATATGCACCACAGACTTTAGCTTCGGGACAGGAGTGGTAAGGTCGTAGATATTGAGAGCGCCTTGTTGTAGCTGCATGAGCAGAGCTGCCTGCACATCAATTTGGTAGGTAGATTTATCAGTGCCACGAGGTGAAGGAGTACCGATAGGAGCGATCTCGAGAGGTGACAGCTTCTGAATATCAGAGGTTGTTGAAGTGCCTGCGGCGACAGCGAGAACAACCAAGTGACGGCTCTCCTGGCTCTGGCTCAAAGTCTTGGATACGAACGCAACCAGCTCTGGCTCAGAAGCAGGTGTTTTAGGGAGCGCACTGAAAATCTCAGGCTTATCCTTAAAGATCCCTTCGCTGAACTCGGCGAGCGTGCCCGACGTAACGTAGTCCACCTCGAAACTTTCGATCTGGGTAGCGATAGCATCCTGCAATGCGGGCTTCGAGGGCGAGGTCCACTGGATCGCAAGGGTTTCGGAGGAAAGTGAAATGAATTCTCCGTTCTCGCAGACTGCAATCACATCGCCAGTACTAGAGGTCTCCGACACACTGGAAGAGCATGTCAAGTATCGAACAGCTGAAGTCTTGAGGACGGGGGAGGCGGTCGTTGTGGAGGTAGTCTTCCCATCCTGGTGGACAACATCCCTAAACAAAGTGATCTTTTGGCCTCTAGAATCGCGAGTAGATATATATGTGTATCGAGAAACGTCGTTGGATCCAGCTCGTCGAATTCTGACGGAGTAAGGAGCGCAGGTAAAAGATTCTTGAGGAGGGATAGGATAAGAAGTGATCAATCTCGAAGCCGGAATCTATGTTAAGTCAGCAACAGCCTACCCAAAGTCTGGTGATAAAACATACGTCGTAGATGCTAATAGTTTCTCCATCTACACCAACGACCAGTTCTGTCCTCTTTCTCTTCTTCTGACCATCGCGCAAACCATAGACCTCCCGCGCAACGATGCGGCCTTCAGTATGATCCAAGGGTCGGGGGAGGGTCGCCAGCACAAATGGCTTGTGTATTCTATACTCAGAAGCCATGGCGACTACGGCACTGCAATGGTGAGTTATACCGTGGGCTGAAAGAGATACAATTCGTTGTATCTAGACTTTCGACCTGCACTTTTTTCTTTGGCGATCGACAGGTGAAGCTTCACAAAAAAAAAAGTTGGAGCGGGCCGAAACAAATTCCGTTGGTGGGGCGGGATCAGTGGGTCTCAAACGCCTGCCACTAAAAATGATCCCTGACGTAGAAGCGAAGGTACGTATCTAGCGCGAATCGACGCGTTCAGTGGTTTCTACCATTTCCATTAACGCGTACCCTGGCTAAGCTCTTTATTCAACTATATCCACGGGCAACGCTTTCAGTTCATTCGCATCAAGACAAAGGCACGCCTCGCATTGGAATCTTTTCTCTATCACTATAAGACTCCACTAAATCTTGTTTCCTTCTCTCATCCTAAGAATCCATATTGCGGTGTTACATTCGTGAAATGGTGGTTTAACGGCAAGCTTAAAGGTGCTTAGGACATCGAATTCGCCAGCTCCTTGCACGCTGACACCGAAACTCTCGCAGCCTTTGACGCATCAATGGGATCGGTCTTGGTCGAAAGGATGGCCCAGGAAGGCATGAGGGAACCTGAGGTGAAGAAAGTCCATCCTTTCTTTACTAAAGGTCCTGCTGCCGACGTTGCCAACCCTCCGAACAGCGCAGAACCATCGCCTAAATTTTTGAGCAGCGAAACTCTTCACGAAGACGCTGAGCCCGTGCCAGAAGCTCAAAACGGTAGAAGACGTCGAAAGGCCGACGCGACCCTCCCACATGATGCGCCTGGACCGAAGAGACCACGACGAAAGCGCCAGGGTGATGCAGCTCCAAGCAACTCGAACGCGACTATTGAGCAGAGTCTTGGAATCAAGCTTACGGAGCCCGTCTCTGCCAAACCGGAACCCGAACCGACGAATATCGCACCTATAAAACCCATCGAGACCACTTCGCAATCCAATACTTCCAGCAATACGGATCCCAATGTCAAGGGCAAAGTACTGAAATGGAACCCGAAGACAGGGACATTGGGATCACCCCCAAAGCTCAAATCGAAGAGCCCTCCGTCTCGCATGGTGTGCGTGAAATATGGACGTGACGATGCCAACCGAAAGGATATGGGGGATAAGATAACCCAGATCCTGGAAGGCAAGATATTGTTCCCACCAACACCACCAAAGAGACGAGGAAGGAAGGCGAAAGAGGACTGTATAACCAAAATCGAGGATATCTCGAGGACTACACACCCATTTTTTACTGGGAAGGCAAAGCAAAACACGAAAACGGAAAGCCAATCTGCTTCCAAAGGGCACTCAGCTTCGGCACGACAGACCGTATTTATGTCCACGCCAATGTCTCCTAAAAAGCCTCGCAATCCATTTTTAGTGAACAAGCAACCCCCACGGTTTGGCGTCAAGACTGGCGTTACTAAGGTGCCCGGGGCTATGCAGCCTCTGTGGCCAGCGAAGGGAATGGCTCATGTTCGTGGTTTTGACCTCGAACTTAATTCGACATTATTATCATCCGAGGAGCATATGGATAAAAAGTCCAAAGGTTCTACTGTCACAATCACCCCCGACGAGTCAGTGCTGGACAGGTTCTGTGCCAATATGGATATTGCTGCTATCCGAGAATCACTGCCTAGGAATCACGATAGTTTTGAACCCGCGCCTAAGGAACTACGAACCCCTAACCGGCACTTTGAAAGTGGACGAAAACTTCAAAAACGTGTCCGGTCAGAACTCAGAACCCTACGGCTGGCGAGCACCGCTGATAATGATGATGTGATGATGGGCGACACATCCGAGGTCTCTGCAAGAAGAACACACCCCGCAGTCAACCGGTTATACGAAATGCTTGAGACTAGCCTTTCTGCATATGATAGATCAACGTGTGAGTCTCTGGCCTGGACGCAGAAGTACGCTCCAACTGCAGCATCAGAGATCCTGCAGGCTGGAAAAGAGGCCCTCCTACTGAGGGACTGGTTACAAACACTGAAAGTTCAGTCTGTAACTACAACAACCGATAATGCAGCAACCAAAGGAAAGCCAAAAACAAAAGCAGCACCGAAAAAGAAGAGAAAGAAGGATGAGCTGGATGATTTTATTGTCAATAGCGAAGAGGAAGCAAACGAGATGGATGAGATCTCTGAAAACGAGCACGATTGGGCACCTGCCGGCTCAGGATTGCTGAAGACAGTCGTTCGAAATGGCGACTCTGCAAAGGAGCAGGGAAGACTGACGAATGCCGTGGTTATCAGTGGTCCTCATGGGAGTGGCAAGTCGGCGACGATTTACGCAATAGCCAAAGAATTGGGATTCGAAATTTTCGAAATCAACTCTGCAAGTAGACGAAATGGCAAGGATATCTTGGAGAAGGTTGGCGACATGACACGAAATCACCTTGTTCAGCAACACCGCGCAGATCCCGGTTCTGGAACCACGGAGGAAGATGAGATTTCTCGGGATTTGAAGTCAGGGAAGCAAGGCATGATGACTGCTTTTTTCCAAAAGTCAAGAGTCTCCAAACCACCAGCCAAGAAACCCGTCGAGGAGAAGTTGCCCGAAACAACAAAAGCCAGCTCGGCTAAGAGCCAGAAGCAGTCATTAATTCTGCTGGAAGAAGTTGACGTCTTATACGAGGAAGACAAGCAATTTTGGGCAACACTGATGGGAATGATGGCACAATCGAAACGACCATTCATCATGACCTGTAACGACGAAAGCCTGGTGCCTCTCCAGAGCCTTGACCTCCATGGCATTTTCCGATTCGCACCTCCACCTATGGATCTTGCTGTCGACCTCTGTCTTCTCGCCGCAGCTAACGAAGGGCACATTCTACGACGCACAGCTGTTGAGGCCTTGTACAAGTCTAGAAATAACGACCTCAGGTCCTCGCTAACAGAACTCAACTACTGGTGCCAGATCGGGGTCGGGGATCGCAAGGGAGGATTCGATTGGTTCTGCCTGCGATGGCCCAAAGGGACCGACCTAGACGAAAACGGCGATGTAGTACGAGTGCTGAGTGAGGACACTTATTGCAAGGGCATGGGCTGGATTGGTCGTGACCTGATCGCTACCTGCCCTGATCCATTGGAGTCAGAAGAGGAGGCAATGAAACAGGCGTGGGACTCGTGGGCATTAGACATGGGCGAGTGGGACACTACACTGGATTTGCCGTCATGGGCCGATGGTGTCTCTCAACATATATCGCAACGAAGCCAGAGGCTCGAGGCACTTGCGGCCTTTGATGAGTTCTGCACCTCAATGAGCGATGCAGATCTCTTGACAAGCGGCACTTTGGGGATCAGATTTCAGGTGATGATCGATCCGGAACTGCCTGAAATGCCAATCAAGATGCGAGACGATTTCATCATCGGAAGTCGTCTTCTTGAGGCAGACCCCAAGGTGATGCCGTCCTCACCCAGTGTCAACCTCTCCTTGTCTCTCAGGTCCCTAGCAAGGCAAAGCCTTATGCATGCTTCACCCACACTCAATACTCCCAAGACTCTCCTCGAACCACTCACAGAGAAGCGAGTGGTTGAGTCCCTTGGCCACTCATTTGAGCCTCAAACCGCGCCGCTGAGCCGCATGGACCTTGCGTATGCATTCGATCCTATTGCCATAAATGAGAAGATATCAGCGGCCAGTTATCTTGACCCATCAGTGTTTGACAGGACCACAAAACTCATCGTCCTAGACGTGGCGCCATGGGTACGCGGGATCGTGGAGTTTGACAACACGCTGATGCAAGAGCGGCTTAAGTTGAGTAACCTCCTAAGCGAGGGGGGCAAGCGGAAGAGGATGCGCACGACACGCAGTGCATATTCAGCTATGGAAGGGGGCGAGAGGAGGAATACACGTCGTGAGAGGTACTTTGGAGACACCCTCAACACGGTCTTTGTGAGACGTACCGCCGGCAAGGGCTGGCAGGATGCTGTGGAGAGAACAGCGCCAAGGGAGACAACAGGGAGTCTACCCAACAGTTCACCGCCGTCCTCGCCAGCATCAAGCATTTAACGAGGGCAGAACTCTGAGTGGGTTATGCCGTATATTCTAAACGCGAATTGACTTGGAAGGATCATGATACATACGCATATAGGTCGGCAAGCTTGGTTTTTGGGGAGTCTCCTATGCGCGATTGCATAGCACAGTCTCAGAATTACGCATATTATAGAACATATTTTGAAAATATATACTTATAAACCAGTCCCCTGTGTATCTGAACGCCGTATCATTGTCTCATGTAGCATACAAGTCGTAAGAATTGTCAAATAAACACTCAACCAACTCCGTTGCAGTACAATGCAATTCCATCCAAACCACCCAATAGACATAAATGACAGCAGAATAAATAAATATATGAAAACGCATTCCATTGTCAGGCTATGTCACCACTCAGGGTGCATAGGAGCAGGCTGAACGACGGTCCTCCTCCGCTCAGCATAGACTGGTTGGGCCTGAACATAGTGATCATCAGCAGGATATGGCAATCGCTCAGCAGGCTGCCTCATCCTCTCATACTCAGGCCGTGGCATACGCTCAAAGTTCTGAGGTCGCCTGCGATCAACTTCTTCGTAGTAGACAGCATCGCCACGACGTCGAGTTGTTCGCTCGACCACACGCTCGCCATTTTCAAGTGAGCGCCGACGACGGTGATGAGTGCGGTCTGAGCGGTGATGCTTGGAAGAACGCTCCCAGTCTTCATGATCACCGTACAGAACACCCTTGGGCCAGACCTTATGGGCTACAACAGCAGCGACACCAATACCGGCTAGAAGGCCAGCCGTAGTCTTGAAGAGCCCATGGTGACGATGGTTGTCGCTGCGCTTGGAGCGCCGGGATGGTGACCGTGAGCTTGATCGAGACGAGAGTCTTGCTCGTGATTTAGAGCGCGATACCATGCGAGATGAAGGTCTCCCACGAGGTGCTTGTGATCGACCACGAGAGGGTGAAGGGGTACGGCTCCTGGACAATGGCGATCGGATGGGAGATGGGCTTGGCATTCTATCATGGACAGAACTGCGACGTTCAAAGGATCCAGAGCGAGGAGAGTTCTGCATGATGGGCCAAGACTCGCTAGTGCTAGTGTCGGTAGTGATCTGTATCTGTATGTATGCGTGTGCGTATGTATGTACGTCTCACTTGATTGAAGTTTCAAGTGTTATATAAGTCTCGGTAAGGGCACAACTCCAACGGTAGATTTGTGCCCGATTGGGTTTTATTTGTTGTTACTTGGTGATCTGAAGCAAATTTTCTGTTGGACAAGGACCAGTGTTCTAACGTTAGAGAGTCAGAGTCAGCCCTCAGTCGCGCCAGATGGGGTTTCTGTAAGGATTGTACCTGAAGCAGGACCCACGACTCAGCAAGAAACTAACTGAAATTTGTCTTCTAAGCACTTGGAAGACTCTGGTATTTTTTACTGTGCTTCTGGTGCTTATAAAGACCTAACAGGGATGTCCTTGTTGAAGAGTACTAGGTAGGTTATGACGTACAAGAAGGCGGAAACACGATGGGGCTATCACGATGAAGGAATTGACAATTGCTCTTGGGGGAATGGAGATCATTCGAGGGAGACACTGTCGATTTATGAGTGAAATACCCCAGACCGATAAGTTACAGGTCAGTGGCTTAGACGATATGTCGATCTCTTGAGGGATAAACATGCGGGGAGATATTGATGAATGAATAAATGAATTGATACGAGAGAATCAATCAGGTCCAGACCAAGAGTATAAGCCTCTTGAGCAATATAACACGCATGTAGCTTTTCCATCTGCCGTCCCTCAACGAGGCGAAGCAGGATTTGAGGATTTGATCCTATTAGTCCCCCCAAATACGATATAGTCTTCTTCACTGCGTCTGCATCGTCAACACCCCCTGTTTATGCACACGACGTCACACTACAAGGGGTCCCCCAATGCCGCGGATCCGACCACTCACCCACGCCTCTGTGACATTCATCCAGTCTTGTCATTTGCTGGCTGATAATTAACTGGGCGATATTTTATTCGTGAGACTGAGACTGAGCGGTAAAGTGCAGATTTTTGATGAGTTGGCAGTATCTCTCTCGTCTTACTCAAGCATATTCATGTCTTATCAATTTGCACTTTGGGTGAGATGTCTTTGTGAGGCTGCACCTGCAGGGCTAACATAAAACATTTACACGGGTTCCTACATAAGGCGTTCGAATGTGCAAGTGTCGCCCGGTTGCTTTGTCTCTCATATATTGTTATAGATAGAGCGTGCTCGTAACCGTGTTCAATGTGCGGATTGCCCTGCAATATCATGGCCAACTCTCACCTGAGACGAGTCGAATAAGTGAAGCATTTAATGCATTGCCAGGTATCAGCATCTAGATTGTTATTGGAGTCGGGCAAAATCTTCCTGGTGTGTTTCAAATATCGATATGGCCCACGTCAAGGACTTTGATTGTATCAGCATCCGCCTTATGGGCTTATAGGGCGTCTTCATATTGAACCTTTGACAGACACATCCTTGTCACCTTACGACAATCTCCTCATTCGAGAACATAGACGTTTTGACTGTCTAAACATACACGTGGTGACTTCATTGGCAGATTTGAGGCGAAGCTCCTGTGCATATTGGCCCTCAGTGAAGCAGCGATATGGATGAGCACCACATCAACGGGCATGATAAAGATATTCTTAATGAGCCTAATACTCATATTCTCACTATAACGGGCCGACTTCATTCCTCGATGTTTTTACATGAGGTCGTTTAAATGCACCTTAAGCCTTTTGCGAGTTCCACACATGTACTTGAAGGGTATAACTCGTTGTGTTTAAACTTGACCATTCGGATGTCTAGCCAGTAAAGTTATAAACAGTCTCTGGTGCCACAAGATTTATCAATTCGAGATACCCTCCATATACTATGGCTAAAATCAGGTCTTGCGGTTCGATAAAGTCTATATTCACCATACCTTTCATCAACGTGAGGATAAGGACTCATGAAACGCCTTATCAAACCGGATGAAAAGAATCGAAATGACGATTATCTCTTCCCAAACGCACAAGAAACAGTGGGTCAGTACCGAATTACTCTCCTTCCAGGTTGTCGATATGAAAAGTTCGATCCAGACCTCATACAAATCGTACATCGACGATGAGACAATGAACAATAGCATCACTTCTTGCGGACAAACTAGAGAACATGTATATGATGACATATTCTTAGATTATCTCTATTCCACACATTGTCATTATCTGGTGTAGGTGTGTGCTGTAATGCCCACTTGGACTGTGGGCATGAAGTTGTAACCACCACGAATGTTGTGGCAGTCCGTCCACAACCCATCCATCTCATCAATCTTCCACTTTGTCCTTGTAAGTATGCGGCCATTAAATGCTTCTTACGAGCCATGAATGGGCTCAGCGGATGAGCAGTCCCGAGCCTTGGTGTTAACTCAGAGAAAACGTCCTCAATAAAGGTTTAACATGGCGGTTGACTTTAAGTTTCTGTTGTCACGACGGGATTTTCCTTCGCATATACTCAAGTAGACTGAATTTATTCTTGTTTTCTTTTCATTGTGTTGACTCATTCACTGTCATCATCAAGTTTCGTTGACGGGTAGGTCAGTCCACAACATTACGTATCCCACTTCACCATCGGTCTATGCCAGATGATCTTGGATTCCAGCATGCCTCTCTTTCCATGTCCTTCTCTTGTATTAATCCAGCTCGGTTTCACACTGCTGTTAGCAACACAGGTTCAGCCTAGGGGGTTGGCGAGAGAATGGTCTTACCACCAACGCTAGTTACTTGTCAACACCACGCATGATATCAACGGAAACCATTCTGTTGAAGGTTATGTCATTCCGGATTCTCATGGTACGCAATCCAGCATAGTACATACATACACAAGACCAATTACCGCCAATTCAATACAATATTGTTCCAGTTTGAGTTACTCTGATCGCTGTCAGAAGTCTAAAGGTATCAGTTGGCTTGAGTGGTATTGAAGCCAGAGTGGATGGTCTTGCACCATCAGGTTTGATGATGTATCTTCATGTAGACATCGCCTACGGCCTGAACACCATTCAAGTCATGAGCCATTCTCGTTGTAAATATGCTTATGTCTCAAATGTTCTCACAGACATAAGAGTATCCTGAAGTCTGACGGCGCCACTCATTGCAGCATCGGTCAAAAGCAACTAGCCCTGAAATCCCAGCGATGCACGATTCGCCGGATGACCTCTAAGGGTTTCTTGATGAAAGCTCAGGACCCAGGTCGTGATATCCTGGCAATTCACAGATCCACGCAGATTTCGTGGATGGATCGTTCTCAGTCTTTTTTGATCTGGAGTATATTACCGGCGGGTATAAGATGGCTCTTATCGAGGTTTCGAACTTTCCAGGCCTCAACACACCCATCATCAACCTTCGTACGCCACTTGGCTTACTCTAGGACAATATGCGCACAGAAGTGTCAATTCGAAGCCGGGGAGAGCTTTGAGACGAATGGAGAAGGCAAGCAGACAACGAAACGATATAGCATCAGTTGCAGGGTCTGTGAGAGCATGTGTTCATGAAGTGGTAGCGCTGGCTACGGAAGTTCCAGTCTTGAATATGCAGTTTGCGGGAACAAGCCCAATGAAACGAGCGGCAGTTTGCCCAATCAGTAAGCCTAAAGGTGGGAGGCCTTGAAATGGACACATGCCAATACTGCGAGTCGTGTACTGCATACGCCTCTTGCTCTTGAAACTGACACACGAGACAACAACAAAGGGAAAATCCGCATCCGCCGCAGCCCTGACCACGGCCGCAGCCACGGCTGAGCCCTGTCCAGTACGGTTCGGCTCAACTCAGCTCAGCTCAGCTCAGCCAGTCTCCGACTCCGCTCAAGAATTGACTACACGAGGCTCAAGCGAATATGAGCCCCGCAAACAAAGCGAAGCAAATGCTGACGCCGCCACAGAACACCGTGGACAAGGGGGCGTGATTTTCAGTGAAAGATCAGATCAGATCAGATGACTCCTACGAACCAAAACAGAACAGAAACATCCTTGAGTAGAATACGGACAGAGCAAGGCAAAAGCAAGACAAGCCAATGCGAGGGAGGGGAAAGAATTGGCTCGGGTCATGGCGTCAGTCTCCCCGTCTCGACTAACGCCGGCCGAACGCGCCGCGCGTAAAGTGCTTGCATGGACCGATTGGAGGCCAATGGCTGCTACTGATAGGCCTCTTGTTCCCTCTCCCTCTTGTGGTTTTAGATCCTGGACCCCCTACTCGAACCAGGACCCCTCGGATCTTGTCTTTTCCACTCCTCTATTCCCCTTGGTCGGTTTCTCTCCTCTCTTTTGAAGGAAACAAATAACCGGCCAAGATGTTGACTGAAGTTGCCTTTGGACGCTCCTCCTCACATTAGTTGACCATGTTAGTGCGTCTAATTTGGAGCACGGTGCTTCGGCTATAGGTGAACAAAATATACAACTACCCTCCACATTTTGTTCAACTGTCCCCTCCGCCTTAAACAGAACGTGAGCGTGAAACTCACCTGCGAAATCCAGGATTGAGGGGCATCATGACGACCAAAGTTCGGTTTAGTAGTTGGCCCGTCCGGATGGGTCAGAAACCCAGATATACAGGGATGTCCTATCATCGTCGCCTACCCTGTGGTTTTAACAGGCGTGCCAACGACAGTCTTTCATCATGACCATTCGAACTGAGACCACCGTATATTTTTAAGCCGTACAACCATTGTAACTCGTCAGTTTTCTTGCCTTACGAATTCTACAGACACTGTTGTGAGGCACGCAGCAGTGAAGAAAGTCCTGGAAAGTCGAGTCTCTTGACCAAAGTTTCAGGTCAGCCTGGATCATGCTAGGGATACCAACCAAGATAATAGAGATGAACACCACCATGCCCCTTCTGCGATGATGATGCCACCATCTGGCTAGGTGGTACCGAAACTCAACGTCGACACAGAGGGTATCAGCTATACATACTATGTATAGGTGCCCAATTGTTGAAAGGCGCGCAACAACTCCTACGAAACGGTCGCTGGTGCCATCGACGATTGAGGCTGAGCTCTCGCCCAAACTATGATATGTCGTGGCATGGCCTGGACTGCTCCGAAAGTCCAATGATGAGCAACTTGGAGTAAAGATCACCGTCGGGCTTCACCTTACGCCACGGCCAAAGTGATGTTGCCGGCTTACCCTTTGTTGCAGAGATACCAATTGATCATCGCCTGAGGGCTGAGAGGAACAACGCCAAGATGGTGAGGAGAAAGCATGTGTCCCAGCCGAACAAGAGTCATGTTGAACCAACAAGAGGTCAAAGTTAATCAATAGCGAAGCAGGGGATGGCAGACCCCTGACAACCTCATCTCTACAAAAGCCCTCGCCGAAGTTGTACGTAGACTGTAGGTCGTGCATACAGTAGGGACAGTAATTAGTGATTGGGGATGTAAGCGTGGGATTTCAAACGGGTCTGGGCACCCCTGCATCATAAATTCCTCACGCTGGAATCAAACAATTAGAACCGTACATGTTGAGGGGCGTGGAGTGACAAGGAGAACGTCGGAACAACAGGTTTTGAGGAACCAAGTGAGTGGCTTGCTAATGAAGGCAAATCTGTAATAAGTTAGTGGATACGATTTGTCTCTCCACGCCGAACGCAAAAGTTGCACTACGGAGCATGATGCTGGAGTCGCCTTTGCTCATGGCGAACCAGGGCCAACTGAGACCTTGTTATTGTGGATTGTGAGCCACCTGATTCATGGATAGAGCTGCAGAGCATCATCTTTCGTCAGGATGTTGACTTTATAGCTCCATGTAGGGGAGGTGTCGGAAACCTTCAGTGCCGCCTTGTCTGTTAATTCAAGGCAAGTACTCTGTATCTTGACCAGTATTTGCCGAGCCGACCTCAAGGTTGCGCTGTAAGATGTGCTCTTGCACATAATGCTGTTGCAATTTTCCTCAAGTGGCTTCGATCTGCTAACCGTCTCGTTATCATCATCTATCAATGTAATGGATCATCGCCGATGTGGTAGGTTGTGATAAAGATGGCGGGACCAGACCAGCCAGACTACCAGGCCACAGGCGTGTAGCTGATGACTCTCATTTGAGGCCTGGTGGTTGGTTGTGGTGGTAGGCGAGAATTAAGCACATATCACCAAGCCTACGGTACGCATGAAGCTGTATTCGTGAAGTTAGAGAGACACCGAGCCAATAAGAGCCCAGCGTGAGACTGACACTACCAACCAGGCACGATGAAACGACCTGTCTGTGCGTGATCTCGAAAAAATTGATGATAAGGCACTGGCGAGGTGCGATGCTGGGGTACATCAATATTGCGTATTCAATCTTGGCCTCGTTTACATTTACGGATCACCGACCGCTACGTGTGTGACCTGCGGGTGTTATCAATTGTCGGGGGCCGACAAGTTGGAGTGCCGTATTCGCGGCCATGGTGTGATTCAATGCTGTAGACGTGTGGACACATGTCCGGGGCGAATTCCGTAGCCGTAGTCGGACGGATTCATATGCCTAAACAAGTGCTGCGGTTTGAGGCATCTTGTCTCTGAAAATCCTTGGGTTAGGGGTGTCACGCAGCGTTGCCATTCATTTCGAATTCGCAGGGATAGGCAGGCTTTTCAATAATGGAAGTGTCAAGATGGCGCCTGGGCCGGCGCTGTCGAGCTAGGGATTCGTAGTTTCAAAGACGTCTCTCACAAAAAGAAAGGCAGTCTTGGATGGCGCTGAACTATGAATATCGACAAACAAGACGGCGCCCCAATCTGATGCTTGACGGTGAGTAGGCGGCCGTGCGGGAATAGGCTGATCGAGTTCAGAAGCTAAAAAGGCGCGGAGGCTGTTGGAGACTCTCAGAGTCAGCCAACAGTGAAGTTCGGCCATGATTGGGCGGCAGATGTGTCAGTGTGATTATTTGGCACAGCCCTTTGTCTTTTGTCTCGGAGCATGATCCTTTGTGTTGGTTAGATCACCTTGTGCAGCTCAGCAGATGGCAAGCCTTGAATGTACATATCGGTTGCCTCGTCAAGTGCATCGTTAATGATGGCGGAGCACATGAGTCTTTGGCGTATATCAAAATGTGCCTGTCTCCGAAAGATGCTGGGCTCATCAACTCAAGTTTGGTTACAGTTGGATAAAGGGCCATGCACTCTTCAACCCCACCCCTCCAATACCAGGAGCAAGACTGGAACCGAACATATGTCATCAGGGCCTCTGGTCAACAATGCAGTGTTGAGGGCGGGTGCAGCGGAGGATGGAGCAGCGGCTCAGCCAAAAGTGGCATAATGTCGACACCCGGGAGCGAGAGCCGCAGTTGTGTTTTCAGTCAAGCTTCATGGCGAAGCAGAGTCAAGTAATATCACAATGCAGAGTAACAAAGCAAAATGGACCAAGCCCAAGCCAGTTCATGACTCCACTGTATCTGCGATTGTTGGTTGGCAATGCGTTTTGTGTGTTTGCCACAGACGCTGCAAGCTTTCCAAAGGTCGATATGGTCAAAGCGTCTGATTGGTTTCTATGTTCAAAATCAATTCGAGCCTGAAAGTATTTCTTGTGGCTCAGTGATATATCAAGCTGAGCGAGATGTATGCGTGTACGGATGAAGATTGAATGGGTTATTCGCATCGTGGCTGCTGATGCAAGTACTCACATCACAGGGAGGTATCTACTGTACTGCACAGTAGTACCTTGGGCTGAGAAATGATGAGACGGGAACTGGGTATCGTCTCCAACACCGTTTGTAATGCCTCCAGTAACGTCCGTCACCCAAAGACTGGCCACCCCCACAGACCGGCCACCTCACTTTTAACCCAGCCACCCAATTTATATATACTTTAAACAGTCACAACTCTACCAATTTAATT